CAGGGTTGTTTCTCAAAGTAAAAGATTCAATTGACTGTAGGGTCTGCCAGTCCAATAGAAGAAGACAAAACATTAGATCCTGTCACTGTCACAGGGGACAGGAGGAATAAAAGCAATAGACAAAGGATTGGATAAGCCAAGTTATAACTTGACAATCAGTTTTGTTGCAACAAGAACCGGCACTGAAAGACATTTCAGTCCATGGTCGTCATATGGAATGAAATGCCCTCACCAGGCCAGTTTAAGCCTGGTTCCAGTTGCCAAGTTTGGAGCCACCGTCGAGCGTAACAACCCGAGTGTTGTTGTACACGTTTTGCAAGAATTTCTTGGAATTCTGCTTGCCGTCCTTGATGAATTCATCATTCCACACCATCCAGTAAGCCCAGTTGACCTTGTCGCGAGCCTGGATGGTGGGATCGGGAATAGGGCCGACTTCGGCCAGAGCCAAGACTCTCTCGTTGTTGGTAACGGCCTGGAGCTTCTTGTATTTGTCTGCGAGGACGCCATGGTCACCAGCATCGGCGTAGTGGTCGACGGTGGCGATGTCACACTTATCGTTTCCGGGATACCAGTCAGTCTCGGCGGTATTGCACACCCAGACCACGTTGTGGAGGTTGTGGAAACGAGTGATGCGGTCGTAGATCATATCCCAGAGCGCCTTGAACGGGGCAGGGCCCTGGGCACCCCACCAGAACCATCCTCCCTCGGGCTCGTGGAGCGGGCGGAAGAGAATGGGAACATTGGCTTGATCCAGACGCTTGATCTGCGCGGCGATGGCATCGATATCACGCAGCAGGAGGCGATAGTTGGTCCCGTTTCGACGGTCGTTGACGGCATCGGCAACGTTGAAGCAGGTGGCCTTGGTGTAGAATCCGCTGTACCATGGCTGTTCGGCATTGTCGAGCAGACAAGTCGGAGCGTACCAATGCCAGACCAGGGCGTTGATTCCGTTACGGTCTGCGTGCTGGATCACATCCTCGACGGCGTGAGACTTGCTGCCGTGAGCAACAGCCGATGGCGAGTAATACATGAAGTCGCTACCCAGGATCGCAGGGGACACTCCAATGTTCTGCTTGACCCAGTCCCAGCTGCCTGTATCCTGCTGACCGGAGATATAATGCGATCCGTACTGAGACTGAATGTATTTCAGAAGCGCTCGAGCGCCAGGGGTGGCCGACTTGTCAATATTGTCGTAGGACAGACCCTGGCCGCCGGCGGCCAAGGCAGTAGAGGTGAGGAGAAGAGAAAGGAAGGAAAATTTGGCAAGCATGTTGGAATATACCAGCTATTCTATAGAAAATGAGCGAATGACTTGTAGAATAAATCGATTAGGTATGTTCAGCATCTAGGAATTGCCCTGCCCTTTATACGTCCGTAGACCTCGAAGATCCTTGTCAGTTTAGTGATGAAGAGGCTCATCATATGATAGAGGTGGAACTTTCATCTTGTTCATGACGATCAATAGACACTGCCATCTTCGCAGTATGTTCTTTTACTGTCTGAGGACCACTACAGCCTGTGTTCTCCAGTTTTTCGTAAGCGATTCCACTATCCCTTCGCCCCCACAGAGGACCCAAGCGGGTACACCGGATCCAGTCTCCCTCTTTTGTATGCCATCGGTATGTTATAGAACATGCAATAGGTCAATCGCCACTGTTAGCCCTTTCCATAGAGTCTGAGGAGATGTATAGATGTCTCAACGCTAGATTCCTGCTGGTGTGTTTCAGCTAAGTCGTTGACAGCTTCGTTGACTCCAGATAATCAAAGTTAATGTGACCATGGCTTGGCTGCATACGGAGAAAGGTAATACCACTATTGTTGATGGGATCTATGCCGGTATGTAGGGTTGAGGTGTGTTAGGCTTACCGTTCGGGGAAACCCCCGTCTGGCTCCACAGACACGGCAGCATCGGATATGGATCTGAATTGCATACAACCGTTGAGGAACCGTTCATTTGTGTTAGCCCCAACTTGATTAAGAGATTAATCAGGAAATTGCCCCAAATCTATTTCACTGACTCGTTTGAAAGAGGGGCCCTGGTCGCGGTGAATTCTCCGATGATCCGCCGAGAATATTCAGTCCCTTAGAAAAAATTTAAAAAAAATTAAAAATAAAAACAATAGAAAGAAAGAAAACGAAATTCCGTCTCAATCTAAGGATTTGACCTACGGTATATACAGTTTTTGAAGCCTTGAATCAAGAACGGGTTGACCTTTCTAGTCACTTGTCGCCGTACTGTGACCGACATTCTGACAAAGATCATGCAGTCTAAGATATTCCAATGCTAGCAACTCAACGCTTCCTGGAATATGATTATATTAGCTTCTCAGCAGAGACATGGGCTGCAGATCACCGTTTTATATCTCCCTTTTGGTTGACACTATCGCACGTAAGAATCTCTGTCTTTGATGAGATTGGCTGGGATTCTATGCCAAGTAAAATGTACACGATACAAATTCTAAACACTGGACCTTATCACTTTAAGTGCCGGCGATCTGCAGGGCAGTATGGGATCTTGGATTGGATTCCCTGATAGTGATTCGTAATCCCTTTAAACCATCATCACAGAGTTACTGTGTGCATAGTGTGGGGTCCACTCTCATCTTTGGCTCGGTGTACTCTAGCGTGTTGTTTAACGCTTTCAAGAAAGTCTGTGCCATAGTCGGCAATCTCGGCCATGGACAAATTGTAAATGCGACTATTTGTGCTGCTGATTAGTTCGCAACAAATTCAAAGTAGGAAAGATGTTATATTTGAGAACAGAGAGCTGTACAGGGCATTCAAGATCCCAGCGGAATTACTTCAATGCACAGCCAACGACCACATCGGGCACGGGCCGATCTCCTGACCAAATGAGGATACTATCTTGTCGTTCGTCAATTCGAAAAGCCGCTCCTAATGTCGGGTTAAGCCCTGCCTTGTTGCTGCCATGGTTTGGCCTCGTTTCATAGTGAGACAAGATGCTCGGCAGTTGTGAACCCCCTGTAACATACGATCTAACATAATTATACAGTGACTTGTGTTCGATGATGCTTTGACATTCTTTTGTGAGATTTGAGCGCTCCTCGAGTATAGGCTGCGTTTATTCCCTGGCTGTAGCAAGCTCTGTCGTAGTGACCTCATAAACTTGGTCGAGTTATCATTATCAATAGCATGTAAGAGATAGTGACCCATGAACACGCGTCTTGTAGAATAGAATGTACGCCGAACTAAAAGGCTTGGCCGATGTATGTTCGTTAGTATACTGTCCATGTAAGCGGACATGTCCAAGAGGTTGCCGGAACCACCTCCGTGATAGGGAGTGTTTGGTTGCTGAGAGTGTTCTAATAAGTTAAGATCTTCAATGTCATTAGAAGGCCCATGGGTATACAATCATGGCTCTATTCGTCATCTGAAACATGGCTTGTTCTTAATTAATTGTAGCGTTATATGCACCCCGCTAGAACGTTTCCTTCCCTGGTTCGCCGATATCCACTCTATAACGTGTATATGATCAATATAAAATTCTCTACATATGCCCCAGTATCGGGCAAGGGTACCCCTCTTTCAGATCATTAGCTTCATTATCATACTAATGACAGAGAGTGAGTGTGGGGACTACGACCCATGGTCTACGTGCGTTTTCTGAATTGGTACTGAGTCGACGTCAAAAGGGAAAGTCGGTGACGCGTTGTGCTCATTTGTGCTACATCCAATATGCTGAGAGGTTGATACCAACATCATAAGGTGTTGTTGCTATGTGAGCTTGCAATCTAATTCTCTGATTCTTCCGTACCCGAAGATCTTGCCTCAACGACAACAAGCCCCCTAATTTGATTCCATCATGACCTCTTGACTATCTCACATGAACATTTGTATATATTACAATGGACAGTGTAGTTGTTAGGGAAGAATTGCCGACACCTCCCGTGTAGGATCGAGTTGGTGGGATGGTGGGAGCGATGAACGATGAACGATAAAGGGTTGGACACGGGCTTAAACTAATGAATTGTATACAGATTAGAATACTGATTCCTGGAGAAACAGCAGAGACAACGAGCCACTGAGTTTGGGCCAGTACGCGGAGTCCTTTTCATCCGCTTGGAAGGGGTGATTCGCACACTGCATATAAACTACGGTAGGGTCGGCTCCCCTCTTGCATACTCTTATATCGCTGAGGGACGTGGAATTGAGACCGCCGATAAGTACTTCGCAATGCTCATTGGATAAAGACCGGTGAGTTCTTAGCACTGGATATCCCACGGTAGCTGTCATCTGCTAGAATAGGCTGAACCAGCAAGCTATACGGAGCACAGGCACAGAATCTCGAGCTGCGGGGAAGCAGTTATTTCCCCCTCATTCAAGACAGTCTGGTGAGCATTCCGATTTAAGCTACAGTTTCCCAGACTGCCAAGGGGTTAGTTTATCATGCACCGCGGGAGCCCTGATAGCTACCAAGTCGCGGCCCATGGGAACGGCAATACTGCCGACACCATATTTGCGCCTGAGCAGATGGGATTACGAGCCTGGTCGGATATGCATTCCGTTGAATTCTACCTGTTAACATGCAAGTACGAGAGAGGAAATGTTTCACGCTCCAGTGGCTTTTACAAGCCGAGGGTAGCCACAATCCATTCGGTACCCTCGCCTTCATTCCCGAGAGCTATACTATATAAGATATAAGTTTGCCCACGGCTCTCGCTTCAAACGTGCGAAATTTTGGTCTGCTCCTGTCTAAACTACGCCAAGACGATCGTTCACATTCCATATCGCCGCGACTTGTTCCGCAACTCAGCAAACATGTCAGACCTAAAGATCGCACGGATTGATGTTTTCCAAGTCGACCTGCCTTATTCAGGCGGTGTCTATTACCTCTCTGCCGGGCGAGAATACCGGAGTTTCGACGCTACCATTGTGCGGATAACCACTAATACTGGCCTTGAGGGCTGGGGAGAAAGCACGCCATTTGGATCTAACTATATTGCTTCCCATGCGCGCGGCGTCAGGCTGGTATCGCTACAATGGCACCAAGCCTGATCGGTCTCGACCCGCGAAGAGTCGACCGTATCAATGATGCCATGGATGATGCACTGCTCGGACATGAAGATGCCAAGACAGCCATTGATGTGGCATGTTGGGATATCTTTGGCAAGTCGGTTGGACTGCCGGTCTGCGAGCTTCTCGGTGGTCGCACGGACGCTCGACTGCCACTGATCTCTTCTATCTATGTCGGAGAGCCGGAGGACATGCGCGCACGAGTTGCCAAATACCGCGCAAAGGGATACAAGGGGCAATCGGTCAAGATCGCAGGAGAGCCTGTGACTGATGCCAAGCGGGTCGCAGCGGCTCTTGCCGATCAGCAACCTGACGAGTTCTTTATTGTGGATGCCAACGGCGGATTGTCGGTAGAGACCGCTCTACGGTTTTTGAGGCTGTTGCCTCGTGGTCTCGATTTTGCGTTGGAGGCCCCTTGTGCCACCTGGCGTGAGTGCGTGTCTCTCCGACGTAAGACCGATGTTCCGATCCTCTACGACGAACTCGCCACGAATGAGATGTCCGTTGTCAAAATCCTGGCGGACGACGCGGCGGAGGGGATTGACTTGAAGATTTCCAAGGCGGGTGGTCTGACCCGAGGCCGCCGTCAGCGGGACATCTGCCTGGCAGCGGGCTACAGTGTGAGTGTTCAGGAGACGTGTGGCTCGGACATCGCATTCGCTGCGATCGTGCATATGGCTCAAACCGTTCCGGAGCGATCCTTGCGTTGCATCCTGGAATGTCGAGAGATGGTTACAATCAAGACCGCGGATGGAGCGTTTGACGTCCACGATGGCTTCGTCACAGCGCCAACCACGCCAGGACTAGGAATTGTGCCGCGCTTAGACGTCCTGGGAGAGGCTGTTGCGAGCTATTGTTAAAGTGTACATAGCTGGTTAATTGTTTTGAAGAGATAGTCGCGGTCGTGTTGCAATGAAACCATTTAGTATCATAAACTGTGCCATACCTTTCGCTCAGCTGCTGTAAGAGTAGTCGACAAACCTGCATTTCCAGTCTTGTGCATAGTATATCTCCTGATGCTTGGTTTCCCTGCTTCAGCACTGAGGAAATCCTCCCCTCTACTGTGCAAAACTGTCAGTCTCATGTACCGAGATTATCTACCGATAGACACATGTTGAACAGGTGTTACTCCTGCTGCAGACCCAGTGGCTGGGATTGAGACGTAATGTGAGCTCTATCGCGAAGGAAAATCTGCTTGTAATCGCTATCGGTAGAAGTGTAACAGGTGTCGGGATCTCAGCCGATGCGCTCGGAAGAAGAAGATGAACATCAATTAATAATATACCGGGATCACTAGCCCCGATTTGGCAAAAATTATGAGAGCCACCGTGGACATGAGTATAGCCTCAAGCTCACTGTGCCAACTTCTTCATGTTTCCCCGCACAGTTAGTAGGGTAATTTTCGCCATAGAAGTTTGGTTCCGACTCAAAGACACCCTTGATAAATAAAGAGGATACGACCTGCTTCTACCACGTACAGATTACGAACCTTATATCCAACAACCACAAGGTAATCCCATATAAGCAAACATGACTCAACCACAACCAACAACCCGTCAGGCTTTTCGCCGAACAGACGATCATACTCCCGGTACCCCTAAGGTGAAGCTTGTCACTGAAGCAATCCCTCCCCTATCCCCCACCGGGGTCATGATCAAGGTCCATGCCGTGTCTCTCAACTATAGGGACGCCAACATTGCAAACGGTGGCAACCCTTGGCCGGTAGTGCCACATGGTATCCCCTGCAATGATGCAGCGGGTGAGGTAGTCGCCATTGGCGAGAGGGTGAAACAGCTGGCGATTGGGGATCGGGCAGCCCCAATCGTGGACACGGAGAACATCACCGGACGGGAATCTACTCGGTCTTGGTTGGCGGCCGATGAGGATGGAGTACTGGCGGATTACATCGTGTTCGATGAGCACAAGCTATGCAAGCTGCCCACGTACCTCGACTGGGTTCAAGCGAGCCTTATCCCTTGCGCCGGAGTGACCGCGTGGGCAGCGCTGAAGGATATGGAAATTGGTCAAACCGTCTTGATCCAAGGTCTGTCCACCGTATCTGAGAACTAGGCATGTTTTCTTCTGACGAATCAAAAGGTACTGGCGGCGTGGCCATGTTCGCGCTCAAGTTGGCGCGAGCTGCAGGTCTGAAGGTGATCATGACCTCCTCGAGCGACGCAAAGCTGCAGAAAATGAAGGAGCAGTTCCCCAGCCCCCCGCTATTGACTGTGAACTATTCCAGAACCCCGAGTGGCATGAGGAAGTTCTGAAGTTAACTGAAGGAGCTGGGGTCGACATCGTTGTTGAAGTTGGCGGATCCTCCACGCTGGTTAAGAGCATGAAATGTACACGCCGTGGCGGAATAGTTAGCCAGGTGGGATATCTCAGCAAGCAGAATACCAGTGAATTCTCAGAGCTTCTTTCTGTTCTCATCGACCGGAGAGTCATCCTAAGGTGAGGCTTAATTACAGACCATAGTCAACCTGAGCAGGGCTAATATTCACTATAGGGGAATCAACGCTGGGTCTAAGCAGGATCAAGACGATCTTTGCGCTGCGTTGTCTGCCACACAAATCCAGTTCGATGATATTATCGACTCAGTATACCCGTTTGAACAGGCCGATGAGGCAATCGAGTATATTTGGCAAGGTAAACAGGTTGGAAAGCTGGTGCTTCGTCTATAGTACTCCCGCTAGCTAGTTTGGATAGTGAAGAGTTTTAATACAATCAGAAAATGCTTCCATAACCTTCGGAATTGCTCTCGCTCAGTCATGTAAAGAAGATTATGCTATTACCAACATCTAAAAAGCCATAATGAAGACAGACGGCAATCTATGAGTGCTTACCATCTTGTGGGTGATGCGTAGTAATGATTGTCTAGGGAGTAGAGCACGGCTTCTCAATCGGGGACGTACTCAACAAGTCCGATGCTACTTATTTAACATCGATAGATCAATTAATTAATGCCCACACCACCGCCAGACTTCCCAGCTTAATATGTACCGATATACCCTGGTATGAGCGTTCGTAACCGTTGTAGGATACGCGCCAAGCCTGCCGAGTGGCTGTTTCTAGCTCCTAAAATCGGTCCGTTTTTCCACAATTTTATAGTTAACGACCTTTTATCAGTGTGGCTATACAGAGTAGGAGTGCGTCTCTCATCTAGACTCTTTTTCGATCGTGTATTCATATGGTTCGTTGTAATGTGCTCTTCGCCACCGGATCCTGTCTATGATTCGAACCATGCAGAAATATATATCTTGACGCACCAAGAAGCAAACTTGGTGCTACACAAATTCTTTTCTCTAGGTATGTATGTTTAGTAACCATTCGATTAATCACTACTAAAGACAGTTTTACTTTGCATCTTACAGTATCAGACAACTTTTGTTCGGGCAAGGAAGAATATAATCCAGACCTGGTTGAACCACCAGGATGATCTAATCACGGTCGCGATTGGTAGTCTGTCAATTATGCCATAAAATGAATAGTTTTGCGGCTAAGAAGCATCGATTGTAATCCATGAGTAAGAGCATGAGGGTATTCTATCGCTATGGGCCGGTGAAGGTCATACTGACAACCGCATACTATGTATAATCAAATGCGAGAATTTATGTTCATTTGAGTTCATGTCACATGCAAAAAATGATGCTCTCTAGATATTCTATGTACAGTACAGATGTCTTGACGGTTTCTAACATACCGATCAAGATGCTTATATATATAGTAACCATTAGAACAGCCTTGAATCTGGTGCCTGGGCGACGGCCAAGTCCCAGAACTATAGGCCCGCTATAATCGAATTGACTGTTTCTAACATGTCCATCCCAAGATCTTCTCAGTGGAAGACATCAACACGGTACGTGTCTATTGCGTGGGTGGAGAATGCCGTAGAAGCGAATTAGATGGCGTTGTTGGCGCAGGTCCAGCTAGCAGAAGAAGAGTTCTCGTTGATGGATTTACCCGAGACGTAGAGTCCCAAACCGCACTGCAAGAAGGTTAATACCATGATGGAAAGGTTGAAGAGGGTGAACACATACAATGGCGCAGGCAATGCCGAGGATGATGACGTTAACGAGGGTTAGGAAGATCTTGCGAGGAGAAGAGAACCAGACTCCCTTGTTCATGACCAGCCAGAAAATGGCAGGGAATCCGTAACTGAACCAACTGCCGAAAAGGGCACTCTGTAGGGGATATGAATCAGCAACCGACAGGGAATATGGGGGCTGAGGGCACCTACAATCAAACTCAGAAGGTCGTTGAAGACGGGGATGGACTCGGCAATGACCCATGCGATCAGCCACAGGGCGAGTGCAATGCCAACCCAGCTGCCAACAGAAAGCAAG